TGTCCGGCTACTCCTTGTCTGTTTATCAAGAGTTAAGTGTGTCTCTGTATGAAGATACACTGCAAGCCTCTATGACTTTTCTGCTGGTTCTCATATTTAGAAGAAGAACCAAAATTAGCAAAAGGAGCAGGGAACTACCATGTAACAAAGAGATTTTGTTTGTTTGTTTTGCATTTGGGGAACGGACCAGAAGTGACAGTGAGGCAGTAGGGATGGGGGAATTGTCTGTCTCAGGATGTGTCTGTCATACAGCAGGATCTCATACTCTTAGAGATGAAAAAGACCTTTCAAGAAACACACACACACATGCTCAAGTCCTATGTTTCTCAAGCCCTTTTAGCTGTGAAACGCCTTGTTCACACACTTAAAAAAACATTTTCTTCTTTTTTTTAAGAGACAGAGTCTCTGTCTCTGTCACCCACCCAGGCCAGGGTACAGTGGCAACATCATAGCTCACAGCAGCCTCAAACTCCTGGGCTCAAGAGATCCTCCCACCTCAGCCTCTACAGGCAGGTGTGTGCCACCACATATATATATATATATATATATATTTTAATTTTTATAGAGACAGGGTCATGATTTATTGCCTAGGCTGGTCTTGAACTCCTGGCTTCAAGTGGTCCTCCCACCTCATCCTCCCAAAGTGCTGGGGTTACAGGCATGAGTCACCATGCCCAGCCTAGAAGAATGTTAATAGTTCACATTTATTAAATACATGACTATGTGCCTGGTATTGTGCTTTGTACTTTACCTGGATTATCGCATTTCATCTGGACCACAGTCTTACAAGAGAGCTTTTCTTTCTTCTTCCATTTTACAGAGGAAGATACAGGAGGTCAGAGAAATGGCCCAAGGTCGTAGTGCCAGTGACTGTGGGAGATAGGATTTGAACTCAGACTTCCCGACCCCTCAACCTGTGTCTCCACTTTCAGATAAAAGCCAAATTGCTTTGTTAAAGCAGAGGGTAGATCCTCAGAATCCTGGTCACTCTCTCCTTAACCATGGCCTTGTTTGTGGCCACCAGGGGCATAGTCTGAAAACCCATCCTGTCTAACACTTCCTCTGATAACTTAATCGATTAAACTGATTGATTCAATAAATAGAAAAACAATCACACAGTTCTCAAACACTACCCGTCTCTTATTTTTCTCTCCTCCTCGATATAATTCGACACCGTTTTTCATAGCTATCATCAATACACACATGTAATTTCATCTTGGGCTCTTTTTAACGTAAATCTATTTTCTGTAAACATTTCATGTATAAACCCAGACATTAAACTTACCAATTTTAACCACTGCTTATTATGTTAATGGAGTACTTGATGAGAATTTCCTAACCTGTATTCCATGAAAACCTGCCTCCAGGTGATATGAATAAGTATCTGTAATAAAAAGGGGTTTTATACATTTTTACATTTATATTATACATTATATATATATTTTTATAATAAGTTTGGGGAACAATACACATACTCTTCCCACAGGTACTCCCTTTCAATACCCCCACCAACATACACATTAGAATATTAGAAACACTGAGAAGTCACACAAGAAAGCAACGGGCATAAACAGGCTTAGCAAACTGATCTGATGGTGAAATCTTTTTGGAGACACCCCTACTGAGCAGATTTACTGCCCAATAGACTCCAGTTGATGGTATGACAGCCTACGCCAGGTCTGCTGGATCCTTTCTCCATGCATGCGAGTGCCCTTACTTTACGGATGAGGAAGCTAGCACTCAAGTCACCCAGCCAGCTGGCAGCACTGGTTAGGACCGTAACTCAGGTCTGCTAACTTTTGCAGAAATCCATGTGACAACATTGCCTGGGCCCTTGCAGGTTGACACATGCTCTGATATTTCACAATTTCTGAAGAGCAAGTGAGCACAAAGCCCGGTTCATGATGGATGGCTCAGGTCACATGGTAACTTGGCAGCTTGGAGTAAAGCATTCGGTCTCCCCTTAGGTCCTGTAGCAAACCCAAACCGGCTTCTCAAAAGGTGAATATGTAGAGCTCTGCAGAGGAGGACACAGCTTTGCTCCCAAATCCTGAGGTTCCATGCTGATCCACCCCTACCAGCAGCTCCAAACAGCATCTCTCAGCTACAGATACTTCAAGCTGCATCCTGTCTTTTGGGTTGTAGGGCTCAAGCAGGGAGCAGCTTTCACAGCAAGCTGATCCTGTTGTAACCTTCTCATATTCTATGCCCTTCATTTAAAAAGGCCACTGTCAGTGGGTTAGGAATGAAGATCTAGGCTCAGGGAAGGAGCCACAACCAATGTGCAATGAGGCGGGGAAGAAGGCGGGTGTAAATATCAGTTATGACCATGTGACCAGTTGCAGGAACTAGGTCTGTTATAGTTATGGGGATTTCTTCCTGATTTTTTCATGGAGGTCGATGCAGAAGGATCACTTGAGCCTGGGAAGTCAAAGCTTCAGTGAGCTATGATTTCGCCACTGCACTCCAGCCTGGGTGACAGAGCAAGACACCATCCCTCACCCACCTCTCATCAAAAAAAAAAAAAAAAGTGTTAATATTTAACCTTATATTTCAGTATTTAAGTTACAGGATATCAAAAGGGCAGTGTAGCTCAACTAGAAAAGGAATGAACATCACCCAAAAATAGTTAAGGAGGTTTGGGGTCCCTTACTGGGGGAAAGTTAACATGTTTACAGATGCATGAGAGGTTATCATATTATGTTTTTTTGTTTTGTTTTGTTTTTTTGAAATGGAGTCTCACTCTGTCGCCCAGGCTGGAGTGCAGTGGTGCGATCTTGGCTCACTACAAGCTCCGCCTCCTGGGTTCACGCCATTCTCCTGCCTCAGCCTCC